AAGTCAAACAGTGTTCTGTGCTCGTCTGTGCAGCCAAACACAGAACAGTTAGCATGTTTTGCTCAAACTTTCTCGATGGCGTTAGAGCTGGTACATCGTTGTCGCTTGTGAAAACACAATAACGGCGCCGTGGGTGAAAACTTACAGATTAAGGGGCGGTAATATTATAATGAGATCCCTTTGCAATGTCACCAAGGGAGCGAAATCAGACGCGCTCGTTTTTTCAGAGGCTTGCAGAAAAAGGCTTCCCAAAACAAAGTTACTGGGTTAATCTTTTTCACGTTTCCTTGGTTGGTAGATGCACCGGGGACCTGATTATAGCACTTAAAACCTGGAACAGTCAGATTTTCATGATATGTCACCTTTAAGCGCTTATTAAAATGAGAGACCGCAGGATGATTTCAAAATCCGGACATTTCAGAGACAGGAGAAGAGATATTCTGATGATTACTGTGTACAGAATTTTCCAAACTCAACGGAACTTGAAGTTTTAATCCAACATAAATCGATGTGAGAATGCAGTGGCTGGTAAACATACGTTATTGTGTTACCACAGGGTGTCAGTGCCCTAATACTATAGCCACTGTCTTTTTATGACATCACAATGATCGTTAATATCTTTTAATTACTGAAAACATGCAACACACTTCTTGTGCACTTCTTTAAATCTGAAATGAATAAGCATGATATTGTTGTTATGAAGCTTGAGCCAGTAAAATAACATTTTATGGATTTACACAGCAAATGAGAAGATAAAATAGATATATATTAAGCTACGTACAATAGACTAAGCTGCTGCTTCAAAACAGCTGGTTTATTGTGACGGCAGGCATATTTAAGAGAGTGAGAATGCCTTCGTAGGGAGCTAATGATCCATTCAGCGCACTGCCAGTAAAGTATGTTTCGGCTGCGATCGTCAGAAGCTTGTTGTTTTGAGCTTATCAGCTTGCAGCAGCACTGCCAAAGACACCTCAAAGGACGTTCCAAAAAATAAACAATATCTTTTGAATGCACACATACAGCAGTCCCTGTTCCATGTCACATCCATCAATTCTCTTGTACCTGTCATTGCTTTACTCCATATGCTTTTGTTGTCATCTGTAGATTTTATTCAGAGCTGCCAGAAGAGAGTATGGAAGCCTTCCCTAGACAGTTAGCCATATGCGGTGTCATTAGGGAATATCTACTCGCTGGAAATTAATTGGGTCTGAACAACAAGCAAAATATTCCATATTTGGAAATGAATATCATCAACAGATGCAGTGCTTTTTGGTTCTCCTTAGATGAAATGAAGGAATTCACATTTTTGAAGGAATTAAAGGGGATTGTTCAGGCCAAAATAAAATTTCTGTCATCTACTTATCCTCATGTCAT